AGGAAGGGCCGTGGCACCGGCTGCTGGGAAGTTCCTCAACGTCAACGTGATGCCTGTTTGCATCACGATGACATCACAGCGTGGCACCCATCTCCTGGCACAGGAAGTGGGAGACGGAAGAAATTGCTACAAAGCCTGGTTTTGTTTTCATGGGGAGAGCCGTTCTGAGCCCAGAAGTGAATCCAAGTGGATTTGCATTTGGGATGTTCTGCTGGGGCAGTGCTGCATCCCGGTGCCCCTGGGAGCTGGTGCCCGGGTAGGGGTGGGGAAGGCTGCAGCACTGGGCATCAAAGTGCCCCGGACCTGAAGTTTTTCCCTTGGGCACCTTCCCCCGTGCAGAAATGCCCGGCCCCTCTTCTGCGGGATAACCCCCGCGCTGGGATTTCAGCAGCGCTGCTTCTGTCGTGGCTGTGCATGTACCCAGGGGATGCTCTCAGCTTTCAGCAGGCTCTCCGTGCTGCTCCAGAGGATGAAGTATAATTGAAATGCCCCTTAAATACATCCTGCAATTGAAATAAACTGGTGCAGCTGCTCAGAACAAGGGTTTCAGTTATTTCTTGCATGGCCGTGGTGCAGAACCATGCCATGACTCAGGTAATGCCGTCCTCCAGCTGAGCATCCCGCAGTTTTGGAATCAAAGCAATATTTTTTCCTTCCCATGGGGACTTTTTGAGTATCGCTGGTGGAGAGCGGTAAACGGCCGCTCTGCTCCATGGCTGCCTTTTGCTGATGGCAGGGAAGAGCTGCAAGTGGCACGTTTACCTCCCTGGAGGGTGAGATGCGATGGAAAAACGCCAATATGTAAAATTACTGCTGCAGGGGGGAGTCTTGCTCCTCCCGCTTGGTTTTTGGGGAGTGAAAAGGGGGAGTTAAGCATTGTACCCTCATTTTCAGGCATTTTCTGGGTCTGGAGAGCGAGCAAAAGGGTAGTCAGGCAGGGACATTGCTCAAGGTTGGAGGGGGCTCCTCTACAACTACGTTTGCTTTTGGAACAGCAAACCAGTTTGAAATCAAAACTCACAGCCCATGTTAGCGGCTAAATTTGCTGGGCCATACTAAAGGTATTTTATCCCCTCGTAACCCCTCGCACTTGGACCTCTCTTAGCCAAGAGCAAACCAAGAAGCCCACTGGATGTAACCCGCCCGATATTTTGTATTTTCATTATCCCCGCAGCAAAGCCGCTGGCGCTGGAGGCAGGGCAGCATCGCGTGCCCCAGTGCTTTCCCGATCGACGGATAAACTGGGGAAAAAAAGCCAGAAAAGGACTTTGAGATCGTTAAGAGCGCTATTAAGCACGACATAAACCAGAAAAATTAACGCAAAGCTTTTATCCCCCTTGTTTATTTGACTCGGCAATAAAACCTAACAGGCTTTAGAGAACACTCCTGCTTTCACAAAATGTTCCCGAGCGCTTACTCCTACACCAGGGCACGAAGGAATCAGTAATTAAATTTAACTCTACTTGTCAAACAAGCGGGATCACGGTTGGAAATCCAGCTGCTGGCATTGCAGATACCCAGTTTTAATTTTTTCGGGGGGTGACGGTGAGGGTTTTTTCGAGGGGTGGTGGCTGCTAAAGCTGAAATGTTCCCGAGAGCCGCTGCTGGGGTTTGGTGTGACAGAGGCGTCTGAGGCGTCGACTGAAATGATAAAAACAAGACCCCCAAAATGGCATTTTGGGATCTGCGGGAGGGACGTCGTCGTTCAGCAGCAGGGATGAGGAATGGCTGCGTGCGGCTGGGGATGGGGGTGTCCCCAGGGAGGGGGGGTGCCATGGGGGGGACCCCTGAGCACCCCAGGGTGTGGGGATGGGGGACCCCCACCCCTGCCTGCATTTGGGGAAGGAGGAGCCCATCAGTATCCGGCGTCATTGGGACGGGGCACCCTCAAACCCCTGCCATATAGGGGACCCCATAAGCACCCCAGCACATAGGGGAGCCCCACCTTCCACTGCCAGCACGTGGGGAAGGGGCACCCCACAAGCCCCCAGATTCATGGGAAGGGGAACGAATCCCCATCATCGCCGTGTAAGGGCGACCCCCCCCCCCCGGCCCCCCGGCCCATCGGAGCGGACCCCCAC